GTGTGTGTGTGTGTGTGTTGTGTGTGTGTGTGTGTGTTTGTGTGTGTGTGTGTGTTTGTGTGTGTGTATTGTGTGCGAGTCAGTGTGTGAGGCAGTGTGTGCTTGATGTGCGTGTTGCCGATGCGCGCAATTGTGAATGCCGCGTCCTCATCGCCATTGTACCGCAAATCACACACACACACACACATGTGGCCATGGCAAAGGGGAGCGGCCTGCCAAGCGTGAGAAACGAACAAGAGGACGACGGGAAAGCAAGGAGGTGACTCCATGTGACGGTCATGCCACAAATTGCTTTCGCCGTGTGGCTATGGCATTCCTCGTGCACCCACTCTGCTCGACACGCACAAGTTTGTCACGCACACGCGCACAATCACACATTTCAGCAATCTGCGGCGGCGGATGAGGATGCACCTGCGAAAATCACGCTGCCAGCAGAGCTGAAGAAGCGCCTGGTGGACGATCATGACAAAATCAAAGCAAAGAAGGTCCAGAGCAGTGTGCTGCGTGCCCGTTGTGTTGTTGTTTCCGTTCAACCTCTCATTGTGCGAACCACCAAATGGCGACCAGCTCGTCGCATGGCTTGCCTTCGTTTTTGTTTTGACACTCTCATCAGGCTCACACGCGACGTTGTTGATGTTGCTGGCTGCAGTTGGCAAAGCTGCCTGCGCGACCAACCGTGTCGGATGTACTGAACGACTTTCTCAAGTCATACAAAACAGACTCCCCGGAGAAGGAAGTGGCCTGCGAAGTCGTTGCAGGCGTGAAGGTCAGCTATTCCTTGGTTCTGCACATGTCTTGGAGGACAGGAGTAGAGGGTTGGGGGGAAGCAGCGCGATGTCTATCATCGTCAGTGTCTTCACCCATGCCCATGGCCCATGGCTTTGGTGGCTTGGCTTGGCTCTTTGCCGTCATGTCGACACCACAAAATGCAATGTGGTTGAGCATGCATGCGCATGTGTGCACATATCGTGGCTGACACACACACACGCACACACACACACACACACACACACACACTCTCTCTCTCTCTCTCTCTCCTGCTTGAGCCCACTCTCGCCAACGCGCCTGCATTCTCTGTCTCTCACACACACACATGCACACTCTTGCTTGAACCCTCTCTCATGTACGCGGTTGCATTCACACACACACGCAAACACTCGTGTTCAGGTGTACTTCCAGCACTGTCTGCCGGCAATATTGCTTTACAAGTTCGAGAAGCAGCAGGTGCGAAAGGCGAGCGGGTCCCACGAGTGGTGTGTGAGAGAAGGAGATCTCGCGTGCTCTCGTGTCACCCATCGATCCGTGGCCGCGGTAGCCTTGAATGTCCCCACCCCACTTACTTCTGCAATCAATCAAACTGCATCACTGCTGCTCGTGTCGCACACCAACTGCTTACTGCTTGTTTTTCCCCCTGCCTGATGCTGCAGTACGACAACTTCAACAGCGCGGACGATGAGGCGGACCCATGCACCCACTACGGCGGCATTCACTTGTTGCGGCTCTTTGGTACGTCGATGAACACCTGTGCACGCACGCACGCACACACACACACACACACACACACACAAACAAACACACACACACACGCACACACACACACAACACACACACACACGCATGCGGTGACAGAGCCATGCGTGTGCTTCACACATTCAAGCAGAGGATGGCATGTGCGTCTGCATGATGGACGCGGACGCTTTGTGCGAAATGTTCCATGGCTGTGAGGTCATGCACTCGAGCACAGACATGCATGCCAGCGCAAGCATGCCATTTGCATTGCGCCATCATCACCTCACCTTGTCTTTCGCCAATCCTACGCCAGTCAAACTGCCCGGTCTGCTGGCCAAGACGCAGCTCAAGGAGGACGCGCGAAGCGTCCTGAACGCGGGCCTGATGCAGATCATCACACACATTGCCAAGCACGCCGACAAGCTCGTGCCCATGCGCTATGCCGATGCCGGCACGGAATACAAGAAGCGCAACTGACGCCTTTTGTGAACATCACCATCATCATCATCATCATCATCATCATCATCATCATCATCATCATCATCATCATCATCATCATCATCATCATCATCATCATCATCATCATCATCATCATCATCATCACCATCATCATCATCATCATCATGGTCGTCTTCATCATCGGTGAATGAGAAGGGCTCAAGGCTCTACCTTGTTGTCCCACCCCACCCCCCACCCCCATTTTGTGTTTTTGTTCCTGTCCCCCCCCCAGCCTCGCTGTTTGCTTCCTCTCGCTGCTTGTGCTGGATTGGTGGCTTGTCGAACAACGGGGTTGAGGAGCGGATTTTATTGGAAGAGTATATGTACAAGCTGAACCTGTCCACTATGGCGCGTAGTTGGCGGAAAGTGAAAAGCAAAAGTATGCCGTTTGTGATGTGATGTGACATGAGAGACATGAGACGTTGACACAACACTGTAGAAACACAGCATTGCTCAAACACAAAGGAACAAACAAAAGGACACTGGAGCGAAGAGAGGGTGGGGGACGGATAGTTCTGAATAATAATACAAAAGCAAGAAAAACCAACACATCCTTTTGTATTCGTGCATGCATACACGCACACACGCATGCATGCATGCACCATGGCGTCGTGGTCACAATGACCGACCAACATTGAACAACCTCCACCGGTCCTGCCTGACACACAAACGCCTTTTGTCGCGTCACGCGTGTCAGACGAGGGAGACGCGGAAGCGGTTGGGGGTGGGTGGGGCGAGGGTAGCTGTTGGCCCCTCGTTCATGGCGGTGGTGTGGTCGTCGTCGTCCCGGCCCATCATGGCAATGATGTGGTGCCACATCTCCTCCGGCAGCAGCGGCAGGTCCGGGCGGTCGAGCGGCAACCGCTGGGCAAGCAGCAGCACAGTCATCACGTTGCGGCGTGTGCGCGGGCCAAACAGCGAGTGGGTGTAGGGGGACCAGCGCATGTTGGCGGCCTTGATGAGCACGCGAATGTCCTGCTGCGGTGCCGGAAGCGCGGGCAGCAGCGGCTGCTCACGGGTTGCCAGGTCAAGCGGGGTGACGGCCTCGTTGCGCAGGGTGAGGCAGACGGGGGAGTGGCCCTGGTGCAGCAGGCGCAAGACCTGCGCCTTGTTCTGCATGAGCACGGCCACATGCAGCGGCGTCATGTCCTGCGTGGTCTGCAGCCACTCGCGCGTCTCGTCCTGCTCAAAGCTCAGGGCGACGGCGTCGAGGCCGTGCTTGATGCGCGCGTGCGTGTCTGCACCGTACATCATCAACACTTGCACGCACTCCAGGTGGCCGCGTCGCGCCGCCAGCAGGAGGGCCGTGTATCCGTCGCGGTCCCGCTCGTCAATCTTTGCGCCGCGGTGCAGCAGCGCCTCGCACACGCCCGCGTGGCCGCCGTTTGCTGCGGAGATGAGCGGGGTCATGCCGCCTTTGTTGTACTCGCTGATGGACGCGCCGTGGTCCAGCAGCCACTCTGCAGCGCCCGCGTGGCCGCAGTAGCAGGCGAGGAGGAGGGCCGAGTCGCCGTCGATGGTGCGGTCGTGAAGGCTGCAGCCCTGTTCGTAGACCAGCCACTGCAGCAGCTGCATGTGTCCCCCGCACGCAGCCAGGATGAGCGGGGTGTATCCGCCGTCGTTGCGGACGCGCGGGGAGCAGCCAAGGGACACCAGATACTTGGCCTATTGTTGTTTGATGTTTGTAAGTGTGTGGGTGTGGGTGTGGGTGTGGGTGGTTGGTAAAGAGAGAGACGGGGGGTAGGAGAAGAAAGAAACGAGGTGAGTGAGGATGGATGGAAGTGCGGGTTGAGTGGAGACAAGGTAACTGCGGAGGGAGCGAGCACAAGGGCACACAAGACACACACACACACAGACAAAGGCAAACACACACACACACACAGACACACAGGCACACTGGCAGACATACACACACACAGACTGATAGACACACAAACGCACACACACACACACAACGACAAACATACACACACACACACACACACACACACAGACGACGAACCATGTGCAGGTGGCCGCCGTTGCATGCGGAGAGGAGCGGGTCGAGACCGTCCTCGTTGCGCTCGTCGAGCGATGCACCGCGTGCCAGGAGCCACTTGACAAGCTCCATATGGCCGCCAAAGGCAGCAAGCAGCAGGCACGTGTCCGAGTTGCTGTTGCGCATGCCAAGGTCTGCGTGGTACTCATCCACGAGCCAGGCGACGACATCTGTGGCGCCGCTGTTGACTGCGGAGAGGAGGGCGTTGTGGCCAGAGTCTGACACCTCGTCCAGGCTGCAGCCGGAGGAAAGCAGCCACTTGACGACGTGCAGGTGGCCACCCCACGCGGCAAAGAGGAGGCACGTGTTGCCTGCGGAATCGCGCTCGCTCAGCGACGCGCCGTGCTCCAGGAGATAGTGCATGACGTCGAGGTGGCCGTTGCAGGCGGCCTGGATGATGGCGGAGTGGCCGCGGCTGTTTACCTCGCGCAAGGAGCAGCCCATCTTGACGAGGCGCTTGACGAGGTCCAGGTTCCCGCCAAAGACGGCGTACAGGAGCGGCGTGTTCTCCACGCAGTCCACGCTGGTAATGCTGGCGCCCTCGTCCAGGAGGAGCTGCACCAGGTGCCAGTGGCCACCCCAGCAGGCGTAGTGGAGGGGCAGGGCGCGGCGCAGGGGGTCCTTGTCGCAGACGTGCAGCATCTTGGGCGCGACGGACAGCAGCAGCCGCACGACGTCGGTCTGTCCGTGGTAGCAGGCCAGGTGGATGGCCATGCGGTGCAGGTCATCCGCGTTGTCCAGCAGCACCTTCACTTGCTCCCTGGGGAATGTCTTGAGCAGGGCCTGGAGCTCGACGGCGGCGCCATGTGAGGAGAGCTGCCACACCGTCTCTTGGGCCATGACGGGGTCCATCCTTTTGGGTGGGTGTAGTGTAGGGATGGCTCGGGGCAGGAGACGAGGGCAGGGCAGCTACTTGATGCGGCTTTTGTGAAGTGAAGGAGGGTGTGATGTGCGGGAGTTCTTGGGCCGTGTTCTTCCAAGAAAGTATAGGGGAGCGGATGATCGGATGATCGACGGAAGGGGACAGGTTGGTGTAGATTCGGCGAAGGGAGAAAATGAACTCCGGGCGACAGGGATGCCAGCACGTTCACGCCAGCAAGGTCAAGTCCAGGTGGCTCGCTGTTGCCTTCTGTTGTGGTGACGTGGGAACACAGGCACAAACAAAGAACGACAGCAACACCAGACAGCCACACATTCCACACAGGCAGAATGAAAGACGATCCAACACCCAAACGTCAGGTGTGCGTGTGTGTGAGTGAGTGAAGAACGGTGAGGAAAGTGATGAAGGTGATGGAGATGACGATGGGATGACGACGGGGATGATGTGATGATGAACGCAGCCATGTCATCACGTGCTTGGGCAGTGAAAAGGGGATGAGGGTGGGGTAAGGAAGGGGGGAGGGAGGGGGACAGCACCAAGGAGCAACCACGTCACATCAACCAGCCCACAGCCACCCACAGCCACCCAAACCAACCAAACCAAGCGACTGTAACGCCACCATGTCACGTTCACAGGCAAGCAAACGCAAGTCACCCATCATCGCAGGGGAAAAGTTGCAGCAAGGAACGACAGATTGTTCCCCAAACACACAGACACGCCGCATGACCTCATCCCCCCGCCCTCGCCCAGCATGACCACGAACAACCAGTGAAACATCATCGCCATGCACCATCGTGAACAAAACTACACAGACATGGTTGGTATGTGCTGGTGCCATCATCCAAACGCGCCCACCTTGGTTGGGGCGACGCCGAGAGTTGGTGTCGCTGGGTGTGGAGAAGGCGAAGATGAAAGTGGAGAGGACGAACAACAGCAGGTGAAGCTGAACACACGCCGCGGAAGGATGGTGGGCTGGTGGTGTCTTGTGTCTTGTGTGTGTTCGTGTATGTGTGTGTGTGCCTTGAATTCCCACGCACGAACCCAGGAGGGAAAACACACGGCAAAACAACAAAAGCACGAGCAAGACAAGACACACGGGGTGTGTCACTTTCGACTGCTGCTGCTGCCTGGCTGGCTTCTTTGCTCTTTGCTGTGTTTTGCTGGGCTGGTTGGGTGCAAGTTTGTGTTTCGGTTGTGTGTGTGTTGTGTGTTGTGCGTGCGGATGATTGACTGGAGGGGGCGCGCGTTGCTGTGTGACGGAGGCGGTTGCCGGGTGACTTGCGGCACAGCGGGGATGGCGATGATGACAAAAGGAGGTTGGGGGATGCAGGAAAAAAAATGAACGCAAACAAGCACAGACAGAGAGTGTGATTCGTGCTTGTGAAATGTGACAACAACAACAAAGTGTCGGCGAAAAGCGGTGGTGGTGGTGGTGGTGTGTGGGTGTGGGGGAAGGCCCAGCCAAGCAAGCAAGCAAGGCTATGCGCAATGCGTGTGTTTGTGTGTGTGTGTCATGGGCTTGGCTTTTCTTTCTTTTGTTTCTTTTTTCTTGGCGCGTGATGCTGAGTCCTTCTCACGCCCGCCGTGGCTTGTCACTTTGCGTGCTTGCACACGCCGACACGACAAGGATTCGATGCGGTTTTAAAGGGACACGAAAACGAAACTTATGGTGTTTTTTTAAGTTGGAATATTTAACGAAGTCATTCACAAATCATCACAACTGCCCATGATTCAAGCAGGTTGGCTGCAGCATGCTGTTCGGGTTGCTGCATGGTTGCTTTGCTGCTTGGTTGGTGTTGGTTGGTTGCATGAGGTTGCCGTCTGTGCATCGGTGTGTGCTCGCTCACCCTCGCCGTCCTGCCTCTCTGTTTTCTTCTGTTTTTGCTTGTGATGTGACCTTGCTTGCTCTTCACGTGCTTGGAAAACAAGACAGGCAAGCGCACACCAATAACCAGCAGTGCCACGACGTCGCGCAACACCGGATCGATTGTCACTTGCGCTGTTCACAGTGGAGCACGTCAACGTCATAGCAGGGTTTTGGACACCGAGCCCACACACATACATACATACATACATACCTACCTACATACCTACATTAAAGGACGTCGTCGTCGCATCGGCGAGATGAACTCGTTCGCCACAGCTACAGCATGCACCTCCTGTCGCTCCTGCGGTGGCTGCCTCAACAAATCAAGATCAAAGGTGAGCAACCACAACTCTTTTGTGAGGAGGCGAAGGGCAAAACACGAGGTGCCTCCTGAGCCACTGACACACTGCACCACCCACCACTGCACCAATGTGCCACTCATGGCACCATGTTGAGTTGGCCATCACCTACGCTTGATCGCCTCCGTGTTGACCCCAGCACGCACTTGCAGCCGCACACGCACAACACACGCAACACGCACACAGGCACTCTCACTCACGCAACACACTTACACGCGCAACACACTCACACGCACGCACACACACACACACACACACACACACACACACACACACGCACTCACTCCCGCAACACACACAAACACACACATTCACACTCAGGGACACACAACGGTGACGGCCACGGCAGTCATGTCTGCGGCCATGATGCCGCCACAACAGCAGCATCAGCAAGATGAAGACGTTGATGCACACATCACGGTAGCAACACCAGCAGCAAGTGTAGATCCAAAGGCAGCAGTGCAATCACAGCACGCAGCAGCGCTGAATGGTGCTGCACATCCCACCAGAGCAACAGAATCAGCCCACAGCTCATCATCTTCGGCGCCAGCCAAGGAGTCCGTTGCAACTGCACAATCGCTAGGCTGGAGGGCGTTGGCAAACGTCTACTCCCGCCTCACGAAGCTGCGACTCAGCGGTACGAAGCATGCCTGCATGCTGCGCCCATCACAACCTGTGGGTCTGTATTCTGGGTCTGTATTCTGTGTCTGTGTGTGTGTGTGTGTGTGTGCGCGCGCGTCTGTGAGTGCGTGTGGATCTGTACAGCATATGACAAAGAACGTACACGCACATACACGTACCCACGCACCCACGCACCCACGCACCCACGCACAATCGCTCACTCACATGCACCCACGCACATACACACAAACGCACTCATGCCTACAATGTAAACTCTCACTTCTGCGGCCGTACCTTTGCCCACCCCCTATCCCTCACTCTCCCAGGGCTGGTGGTGTTGACAACGATGGGTGGATATGCGCTCGCGCCATCGACGTCTGCGCCTTTTGATTGGGCCGGCCTCGGCATCGTCTCGCTTGGCACCGCATTCTGCGTTGCCTCCGCCAACTCGTTTAACCAGTGGATCGAGGTCCCATATGACGCGCAGATGACGCGCACATGCGACCGCCCGCTCGTGCGCGGGGACATGTCGCCCTTCCACGCCTTCTCCGTCGCCGTGACGAGCGGCGCCGTTGGCGTCGGCATCCTCTCCACCATCAACCCGATTGTCGCCGGTCTCGGCCTCGGTAACATCGTCCTCTATGCCGGCATCTACACCCCAATGAAGCGCCTCTCCATCGCAAACACGGTACGCGGCTGGGGCTGCGCTAACCACGTGCTCTGGCTGTTGGTTGTGGGCTTCGCATGTGACTCTGACGTGTGTGACCACGCGAAAGGTGCTTGGCTCATTCACCCTGGATTGCGTTCTGTTTGGTGACACGCCTGTGTGTGTGTGTGTGTGTGTGTGTGTGTGTTGTGTGTGCTTGCAGTGGGTTGGATCAGTTGTGGGTGCGATTCCGCCCTTGATGGGCTGGGCCGCGGCTACAGGCTCCCTCGCTCCCCCGTCTCTCGTGCTTGCAGGCATCCTCTTCGCCTGGCAGGTATGCACATGTTTGTGAATGTGCGTGTATGTGTACTTGTGTGTGTGTGCGTGTGCGTGTGAACAGCGTGCGTTGTCGCAAGCACCCAGCGAGTCTCAGCACCTGCCGTGTCGTCAGCCCATACCCTTTCTCATCCTTGCCACTCTGCCACAGTTTCCCCATTTCAATGCTCTGAGCTGGAAGTTGCGACCAGATTATTCAAAGGTGCGTTTGACAACAAAAACAACAGCAGCAGCTGTTGCTGCAGCATCACACGCGAAAAGAAACAAACACATTTGGCAGCCATCTGTGCTTCTTTCATCTGTTGTGGTTTGTGGTCTGGTTGTTGTTGTACTTCTGAATGCCCAGGCACTGTGCCTGCCCTGTTGTTCTGTCGTTGTGTGTCTCCTTCTCCATGAGCGATTATATCAGCTTACACACTCACGTGCACGCATGTGTACCTTCGCGTCTGTGTCTGTGCCTGTGCATCTGTGCGTGTCGATGCTTTTGTCTGCACACGCGGGGTGCATGCAGGCTGGCTATCGCATGATGTCTGTGACAGATCCTGCGCTGTGCCGCGCCGTTGCGCTCCGCTACAGTGCCGCCCTCATCCCCATCAGCATCGCAGCGCCCGCGCTCGGTACGCCTCCCGTCTTGTTTCGTGTGCCACTGGCGCCGTACCGTGTTGTTTGTGATCGCCATGCATGACGGGCACTCACTCACTCACTCACTCATTCCTTCGATCGCACACTCACTGCCCCTCATTGACTCACTCAATGACCCCTCATTGACTCACTCAATGGCTCTCACTTTCACACACACACACACACACGCACACACACACACATACACACGTGCGTGCAGGCTTGACGGACTGGACGTTTGCAGTTGACTCGACGCTCATCAACGGGTACATCACGTACAAGGCATGGCACTTCTACACGCGCGGGGACGACCAGTCGGCACGCAAGCTGTTCCTCACATCTCTCTGGCACCTCCCCGCCATCATGGCCCTCCTCCTCGTCCACAGCCACTTTGCATGACGCCCCTCTATGTGTGTATGTGTGTGTGTGAGCCTGTGTAGGTTGTTTTGAGACGGCTTTGCCACGTCGTTTCTTTGCTGCGAGCTAGTGATAACGTAACTAAACCCGCCGCTTTCTCATCAGTGTCTCTCCTTTTTCCCCCTGCCAGCATGTTTATTGTTACGAATGCTTCTGCTTTTCGTGTCTCTTGTCTTCATTGAATTCTTCGTACGACTCAGGCTCGTTCAACTTCACGACTTGCTTGTCTCTCTTCTCTCCTTCTCTCACTCACACACACACTCTCTCCTTCGCTTGCTTGCTTTGGTTGATGGTGTCCTCTTTACTAATGCAACGCGTGCTGTCATGTGATGGTTCGTGTCACGTGCTGTGGGTCCGTGATTGCACAGCGGTGTGTGTATGTGTGCGCGCGCGCGTGTAAATTGAATGCAAACAAGGCATGTCACGCAATTGCAAAGGTGCAACCAAATCAAACCACGACGCGTGTGGAACTTGAACATGTGACATGATGATGGTCATGGTGATGTGATGGTGGCTGAGGCAAGGAGACCACCGTGCAGGTTGCTAACAGCAATTGAGATGGTAGTCACAACAACAGCAGACAGGCAATGTACAGCGTTCGAGACTGCTCCAGCCATGTGGTCTCATGTCAGCAACATTCCACGCCCGCCATCCCATTACACCCAAGACACAGACGAGTCGCCTTCCTCCTCATCATCATCGTCATCATCATCATCACCGGCGTCAAGCTGCGTGCACACAACTTGATCGCCTAGGCTCTCCTCTTCATCCAGCTCTTCGTCGTTTGCATCCGCCTGTCGCTTCCCTTCATGGTCGTCGCCACCGCCGCTACCAACACCATCAACAAGTGGTGCGACGGCCGCTGCCGTATTGTCTTCGGCGGTGGCCTCGGACGCGGTGCTCGTGCGAGCCGACGGAGGCTCAGCATCGCCACTGTGACGCTGCTGCTGCTGCTGCTGCTGCTGTTGTTGTTGTTGTTGTTGTTGTTGTTGTTGTTGTTGTTGTTGTTGTTGTTGTTGTTGTTGTTGTTGTTGTTGTTGTTGTTGTTGTTGTTGTTGCGTGCCATCTGCTTCGTGGCGCGTTTTTTCTTCATTGTGTTCATCCGCTTTCTCTTGCGTTTCCTCGCGTTGCGCGTCTTTCTTCTGCACTTGTGGCGTTGCAGGCTTTGGTTTCGGCTTTGGCGGATGTGTTGTCTCTGCCTCCTGCACACACTGCTCAATCATTGAATCCTGCAGTGGACACGTGCAGATGACGACAGTGTGACTCGAGACGAGGAAACCAGCAAGAGACAACGAAAGTAAGGCAGTGCCAAGCAGGTGCACACACACACACATAGACAACAGACAGACAGACAGACAGACAGACAGACAGACAGACAGACAGACAGACAGACAGACAGACAGACAGACAGACACACACACACACACAGGGAGACAGACAGACACACCGGTAGATGGGCAAGACTTACCGATACAACTGGCTCGAGAATGAGTGGCATGAGGGTGTCAACGGTGCACTTTGAACGCGGAAGTTTGCGCAGATACGGCATCAACTCCTCCATTGTGGGGCACTTCTTAATCAGCGCGTGGCGGTTCACGTACACAATCGCAGCGGCAACACGAAACAACACCTACACACCAGCAGAACCAACCAAATCATCAGCGGATTGCGTGTGTGTATGTTGATGCTCAAGTGCGTAAGCTCCATCCCTTACTCTCACTCTCACCCACTCTCACATCCCAAACACACAACAGCAACAGCAGCACGAATCCACCATCGCCCTGTCTCTGTGCGTGTCTGCGTTGTGTTTGGTCTCATTGTCGGCAGACGTACCACACGACCCTCGCAGAGAAACATGTCCCAGATTCGAAGCACCAAGTCCCATGGCAATGTCTGCAAGCGACAACACAAGCCGATGCCATGTGAGCCGCGTACACGCACAGACACACACAGACAGACACACACAGACACACAAACACACACACACACTGTATGTGGGGGATTCTCACCTTGGTGAACACGCACATGAACCAGTCAACCATAAACAAGATGGAGCACATGCCCTGCTCCTCCAGATGCTGTGCCAATCGAGGCATCTGTTCAGACATTTAAAACACAGGCGGATGCATACTCATGAGCGGCATCACTTCTCATCATCTGAGCATCGCTTGCATCACCTGACCAGTTCACCCAGCGTAACACATGCCGACCATGCCGCACCTTCGCCTTGATCAGGAGGTCCATTGCCGTCGTGAAGATCTTCACCTCCCGCAGGTCAGACCGATACACGCCTTGCAGGTACTTCTCCTGGATACAACGGCAAACCGAGCACAGGGCAATGTCATTGCATTGGCCACAACAACAACAACAACAACAACAACAACAACAACAACAACAACAACAACAACAACAACAACAACAACAACAACAACAACAACAACAACAACAACAACAACAACAACAACAACACCAACAACCTTGGACCTTGCGAACCATTCAAAGAGGTACCACTGAGAAGACACAGGCTTCCACAGCACCACAACTCACGCCCGCGACGCGCATGACACACGAACCCCACACGAACACCGACGAACATTGTTGATGAGCTCCGCAAGCATCCAGAAGGCCTGCTCCTTGGGCACTTGGATCAACAAGAGGCCAGCAACAAAGCCCATTCCCTGGCAGTATCCCGTGTCTGGGTCGTACACGGCGTATGCGCGCAGCACGTCCTTCATGCCCGAGCGTCCAACGTGGTGCTCCTCGAGGAACATGCTGTGCTCCGGATACGTGCGGTGAAGGTCGCGCTCAATGACGTCCATGAAGGGATGTGCTGGATGGTTGTTGTCCATCGACTCCAACAGGAGATCCTCCATTGTCTTCTCGCTCTGCTGCTGTCGTAGGCTGGCTCCCGTCAGCCACCACCACGCGCGCGACCGCATTGAGTCGGGAATGCCTTTGCGACACCGGCGAACAACCTTGCGCCAGCGCTCGTACTCCCCTCGCGTGTCGGACTCAAGCATGCGCAGCCATTTCGCTTCTCGCTCCCGTACCTTGCTTCTCATCTTCTGCCGCCTCTTCTTGTCCAGCTGCGTCACGCCCTTCGTCTCCTCTGCGCCGATGAGGAAGCCAAACGCATCCACGTCCTCCGTCATCTCTTCCCCATCGCCACGAGCAGCATCGCTCATCCTCAACTGCTTGTTTGTTTTGGTTTGTGTGTGTTGTTTGTGCTGATGATGAATGTTGTTTCGTTCGTTTATGGACACGAGTTGAAGCGACGACAAGCAACGGGAAGAATCAAGGGTAAGCAGCGTGCAAGGCAAGCAGCGTGCTATCCGCGCCACCAGTACGGAACACATGGACAACAAACGCATGTTAGTGCCACCTCTGCACCCCGTCCACGTTGTGCTCACGGGTTTCCCATTGGAGGAGCGCTCGCGACACCAACACCTCCCGGCGGTGCCGCATGGGTCTCTTGCTGGTGGTGTCGTTGGTGTTGGTGTCTTTGATGTTGGTGTCGTTGATGTTGTTGTCGTTGCTGCTGCTGTTGGTGTTGGTGCTGGTGTCTGTGAGCAACGGTATTGCTACTGCTGCTGCGATGGGCACCAACAGCAGCTGGGGGCGCCGATGCGCGGGACAGGTGCGCCGCTGGCGGGGCAGATGCCGTCCCCACAGGCGTACGGTGCCGCAGATGCGACGACGATGACGACGACGATGACGACGACGAAGACGACGGTGGTGGTGCAGTTGGTGCAGTTGGTGCAGTTGGTGCTGATGCTGACGTTGTGAATGGTGTTGGTGTTGATGTTCGTGCAGCTGTGCCGGCCACCGGCGCTGCTGTTGATGCCGTGGACGGTGCGGACGCTGTCCTCGCTGTCCTCGCATCGGCCGCTGTTGCCGTAGCTGTTGATGATGATGCTGCCGTTGTCGCCGTCACTGCGGCCTTGACTGGCGATGGGTCGCGCGCAATGCGGGTTCTGTCCCCCAACGGCTGCATGTCGCCCATCTTCACCTGCATTTGACCGCGTGGCACTTGGAGGAAGGTGATGTATGACTGCGGATTCTCTGCTTTCGGTTTCCATCCCAGCATCTCCGTCTGACACCCAACATCCCTGGTCCGCTTCCTCCGAGACCTCCTTCGAACGCCCTTCATGTCGTCCTCCTGTGTCGTCTTCGCGGCCGTGCTCCCAGGAAGTACCCCTCCCGTCTCCTCACTTTCTTCGTCCCCATCCTCCCTCGCATCCTGCTCCTCCCTCTCATCCCTCACATCGTCATCGTCATCGTCATCGTCATCGTCATCATCATCGTCATCGTCGTGAGCGCTGCCGCCTGGTCTGTAAGTGGCCTCGTCCACGTGCAGCAGGTGTACCTCGGACACGAGCGACTCTGCCGTTTCGCCAGGCAGCGTGAGCACGCTGGAGCCGTTGGGCCCGCGGGCAACCTGGATCCCTTTCTTTGCCAGATATGACACGAGGGACACGGAGGCACCCACGCCCACCCGCACCGCCGACAGCGCTGTCCAGAACAAGCCAGTCACAGCGCCGGACACGGCACCACTCACGCCGCCGACAATGCCGCCAATGGTTGTGTTGACGCCGACGTTGGCGATGCCCTTTGCTGCAAGCACGGCCGTCTCCTCGGTCAGCTTTGCGGCAAAGGCGACGATGTCCCCGGCTGCGTTGCGCGCGGCCAGCGTCCACGCCACCGTGTCCACCACCTGCCGTCCGCACGAGCACGAGCTGGAGCTGGATGCGCCCACGCATTTCTCACACACTTGCGTTCCGCGCGTCGCCATCACCACCACCACCACGGCGTCGTCCCCGTCGCTGCCGTCATTCACATTCATCCTCCTCTGCTGATGTTGTTGGTGTTGTCCCTTGTTTGGGGGAGGGATGGCTGGATGGTCTGGATGGTGATCAAGAGAGAAGCAAAGAAAGGTTCTGCAGCAGCTTGTGTCGAATGCGTGTGTCGCTTCTGAGTGCTTTGGTTGGTTGGTTGGTGGGGTGGAAATGGATGCGTCATCGCCGCGATTGTGCCGATTGTTTGCAGTGCCACCAACAACAATATCGTCGAATGCTCTGGTGGTTTGTTTGTGCTTTGTGTGTCGTGTGTCGTGTGTCGCTAGCCCTCAAGCCATCCCTCTGGCCGTCCCTCTGCGCTGCTGTGCTGCTGCACCCACAGTCGCACAGTCTCAGCACTCAGTCTCACTCATCACCTCACACGTTCACACACACGCACATGCATGTATGCACTCGTATTATGTATCACTTGGCTGGGGTTGGTGACGAATCGTTTACAGACAAGCAAGCAAACAACACAATGTAGCATCACCATTGCGCCGCAGCTAGAGGGGCAGGGTGTACGCTTACACAAACGCATGGAGGAGGAATTGGTGTGCGTGTGTGTGTATGTGCGTGAACGTGAAGTGCTAAAACTTACGACCCAAACAAGACACAACGGTAGGAACAAGTTGGGGGGGGGTTGACGACAAAAGAACACACGAACAAGCAGATGCGTGTCACTCGACGCTAGAGGCGCCAAACACAGAGACAGAAGAGTAAACACGACGCCACCATGGGTTCGCAGCGTGCAAAGCCACATCGTGGAAGAACTCCATACGCTTCCTTTCAATTTCTCGTGAAAGAGCATCCCGCGTGTCGTTCCACTCAACAAACCCCGTTCGAGAGTCCGACACGGGCTTCCCCTTGTCGTCCACGCGTTGCAAGCGGAGAAGGTCGATGCCACAGCGGTAGATCTGGAACCCATCCAGATGCGCAGCCATGTGGTCTTCTGCGTTGTCGCGGATGTCCTCGACGATTTTCTTCAGAACAGCCTGACTGCCATATGCTCGCAGCTCAGGGTTATCTTGGATGGCTTGCAGCACCTCACGAAAGTCGCACTGGCTGGGTCCGTCGCAGTGATAGTTCGCCTTCACAAGGGGAGCGTCATGCTCGTTGAGATTCTTTGTCTTGGGGTACTGCATATGTGATGCGATGATTTGGTGAAGCCTCGCTTTATCCATCTCCTCCATAAAGGCGAAGATGTCAGAGGGTGGCGGGCACTTCTTGGGTGTGGACATGACGGTTGACCCTTGTTGGATGCAGATATGAGAGAAATGTCGTGTTTATTGCCGCGCTTGCTTGGGGTTACATTATTCATAGACAGGAATCAAAGTCTCAAGATCGTTGCATCTACCCCTCACACGCTCACACGCACGCACATGCATGTATGCACTCGTATTATGTATCACTTGGCTGGGGTTGGTGACGAATCGTTTACAGACAAGCAAGCAAACAACACAATGTAGCATCACCATTGCGCCGCAGCTGAAGAGCTGACTACAACGCCAGAACAGAACGCCATTCAACACACAACCACACTGCTTTGCTTTCCTTCCACACTGTACAGCAAACACACTCTCGTCCTCACACACAACCAACCCTCGCACGCACCAGCACGCTTCCCCTCCCCCGGCCCGTCCTCTCCAGCATCCTCGCCCACATACCAGCGCGCCTACAGCAGGAACTTGCCGTAGTTGAAGTGGAGGTTGTTCTGGCGAACACCAACCTGCAGGCGGTGCCGCTGCTCCTGTCGAGCCGCCCACGCCTGGTCCCGCTTCGCCTCGCCCTTGGGCAGCTGCGGATTCCTGTACCCGAGCGCCTTGTACCTGGCCACACGTGTGTGTGTGTGTGAATGTGAAGGTGGAGGGCGAGAGTGAGGGAATGGAACACAGGTAGCAAGTATGGTCAGCAAGCACAACAAATTGGTCACAGACGAACACGACACGCACGCACAGATGAGCACACGGTGTCATGTACCAACATGCGCACGGGGAGACACACACACACACGAGTGCACACACGAGCATGTACACACACACAGACACAGGAGTGCACACACACACACCCACAGACACACACACACACACACACACACACACACACTCACACACACACACACACACACACACACACTCACACACACACACACACGGGGACAAAGCACTGACTGTGCAGCGAGGCGGCCGATGACGACGGAATCGCGCGTGTCCTCGCGCCGGAACCGCTGCCTGTGATAGCGCTGCATGGTCCGGTGCGCAACGCTCACCCCAGATGGAAGCGCAAGCGCCAGCCCGCTCGTCAGCCGCAGCCCGCCGCTCGGGTCCTGCACGGGCACCACGTCCAGGCTGGCGTCGCGGTCCGCATCGCTCAGCGCCGCGTTGTCCGGGTAGGTCGAGCTGAAGTCGTAGAAGTCGCCAAGCTCAAGCTGGCCCTCGTCGCTGTAGTCAACCTGCTTGTGGCCCTTGTCGTCCATGTGCTGCCGCACCGCCTCCAGGCCCGCGCACGCCTTGTTGCACCAGATGCACGTGAAGTAGTTGCCCACCTTCAGCTGCAGATACCGCACCAGGCCCTGCAGGTCATCCACAAACTCCAGATGCGGGATGAAGAACCCATGCTTCTGCCCCATGTACTCCACATTCTCCTCAAAGCTGTCTGCCCGGTACGTGTCGAACAAGCTGTCCACCAGCTCAAGCACGGGCTCCTCCTCTTCCTCCTCTTCCTCCTCTTCCTCGTCTTTGGCTGTCTCCATGGCGGTGGACTGTGCAGTTGAGCTAAGCTGCTGCTGCTGCTGCTGCTGCTGTGTTGTCGTTGTTGTTGTTGTCTTTCCTTTGCTTCCATCTCCTGTGCCGTCTTTGCCATGAGCGCTTCGTATTTGCGCTTCTGCTCCTCGAAAGGCTGCACATTGGCCTGGGCAGTGCCAGCATCATCATCATCATCATCATCACTGCCAGCTTTGCCGCCATTGTTGACATGTGCCTGCTCTTGCTGTTGGTGCTGTGGCTGCTGTGCATGTTCTTGCTGGCGCTGCTGGCGGGCCGCTTCCCTTTTCTCGGCCTCCTTGTGCTTTTTGGAGTTGATGTGGTTCTGGTGCGCGTTGCGAGACGAGAATGTCTTCTTGCACGTCTGGCACTGTTGACGAGGTCATGAGATGATGAGGCGATGAGAGGGGGGGGGGGGAGGGAAAGGGGGACAGGGGGGAAGAGGGGAGTGTGCGTGCGTTGATTTGTGTGTGTGTGTGTGTGTGTGTGTGTGTGTGTGTGTGTGTGTGTGTGTGTGTGTGCGTTGATTTGTGTGTGTGTGTGTGTGTGCGAGCGTGTTGCTATGTGTGCGAGCGTGGAGCTGATCGCATGATACAGTCGGGCAGGCAGGAAAGGCAGCCACAAAACACACACACATGCACAATACATGTCGCACACAACACACACACACAATACGTCACACACACACACATGCACAATACATGTCGCACATCACACACACACACACCTCGAAGGTTTGCATGGCCTCTGTGGCTGCCGCCTCTGTCTGTGCACGCTGTGCGTGGACGCGCCGGGTAAACGCCTGCGCGCTGATGGGTGGCAGGCCCGCCACCTTGCGTTTCAGGTTGTACCGGTGCCAGTCTGTCTTGTAGTGCTGGCGCTGCGCATCTGCTGTCTGGAACCAAACGTTGCACGTGATGCACGTCAGCACCCGCTGTCCATCAACCTCTGCCATCCTTGCTTGCTTGCTGCTGTTGCTGGTGATGGTGGTGGTGGTGCCGTAGACAAGGGCTGAATGGGTGTGGATGGGATCAACAGAGAGCCGGAGACAGGAATGGGAGAAGGAAGGAAGGAAGGAAGGAAGGAAGGAAGGAAGGAAGGAAGGGGGATGGGTGCTGGTTGTGGTCGTGCGTGGCTGTCTTGTAACAAGCTGTTCGCCTTCTTCTCGTTCCACGTGCTTGTTTGTTGTGAGTGATTTTTGGGTTTTGTGTGTGGCGTTGTTGTTAATGCGATGGATGATGGTGACATTGATGGATGTGATCAAGTTGATTTGGTTGTGGTGACATCAAATGAATGATGATGGCTGATGATGGCTGATGATGGATGATGATGGTGGTGACGGTTGTGGTGATGGTGATGATGAGGATTGTGTCACATCACATCACACTTCATTCATTTCAGCTCATGTCATGGTGTTACACAATGCACACGCACACACACACATATGTGCCTGCGACAACACGCGCCAGGATGTGATGATGTACAAGAAGGGGAGAGAGAGGAGGGACAGAGAGGCAAGACAGTCCTTGCTTGCTTGGGCAGGACACGGATGACGGCACATACACACACATGCGCACGCACACGCGCGCAGAACTAACGTAACGTTTGTACCGAAACAGAACAAGTCGTGTCGGGAGAAAAATGAAAGTGCACAAGCGAGCTCGGTGCGTGTGATGTGGTTGGTCTAAGGGTGGAAATGCAAGTTAACAAGAAGATTTTGACACACGGAGCAGCAGCTGAGACACAGTGTAACACGAGCAAAGATCCGAGCAGCAAGACCACCAAAGGCCGACAGCACATGCATCCACACGCCTGTGCACACAATTGTGGCGCGGTCACTGGCCAGCGAGCCTGACAGCAATGCCCCAGAAGCGTACAGCACCGTCGTCGTAAGCGGAGGCAAGCACACGATCGGCATTGCAGCTGCCAGAGAGCGTGGCCAGCGCGTTGACGCCCTCATCTACGCCCTGGTTGTCGTGCACGCAAGCAGTTATGGCATGGGGACAGTGGCGAGCGAACATTTTGCTGCCGTGAGTTGGTGGGAATCTTTCATCTATGAAGCAATCAAGGAGCGTGTGCAGTCCCTCAAAGTGAAAATGAACGCCTGCGCATGAGTCAAGGATCAAATCAGCTCAGCTGCGCACCTCAAATACACGCGCGCACGTGCCGTCCTCTGCATTCCACACGCGAATTTGGCCATCGCGAGAACCACTGGCGCCAACAGCAAGCGGTGGCGTCGATGTACAGCGTGAGGCGGTGAGGCACCACCACATAAACCAAAGGGGGTTGGGTTGCCTTGGCTGGAAGTACAGATGCACGCTCAAACACAGAAAAACAGGAACACACATTCACACACACAGACACACGCACACACACACACACACACACACACACACACACACACACACACACACAGGTTGTCAAACCAAATCACACACCTGAAAAAGACGTGTCTTGACAACGGAGCGAGGGAAGTGACAGCATCGGTGTGGCCGTTCAGGGTAAGCAGGCACGCGCCATTGCGCACGCACCACACGCGTATGCTTGTGTCCATGGAAGCACTGAAGCATGAACAAAGGGGCCGTCCGAAACGTCGCCAATGAGCAGTGTGCGAAGAGCACACACACACACATCACATGCATACACACACCACACATATGCATACACACACAATACAAACGTCGCCGCGCTGCCGCACCACCGTCACCTTGCGATGCGCGTGTCGGCGAGAGCGCAGACGTCGTAGACGAGGGCCGTGTGTCCGTGCAGCGTGCGCGTGCTTGCGGATTCAAATGGCGACCATACCATCACGGTGGTGTCTGTTGATCCGCTCACCAGCTGACCGGAACTCAGGGCGGCCACGCCGTACACAGAGTCGCGGTGGCCCTCGAGCGTGGACACGCACGTGGCCTTGTCAAAGCGGGCCTTGGGCTCCACACGCCAGAGCTTGATGGTGCGGTCGGCCGAGGCCGTGACCAGGACGCCGCTGTCCACTTTGTGCTGAGTCAGCAATCCTGCGCCCTTTGGACCTGGGAAGAGCCAAGTCATGGCCCAGATGTACGCGCAGTGTGCCTGGCAGCGGCAGGGGTTCGATTCAAGCGTGGTTGCGGTGGTAGTGATGAAGGTGGTTGGTTGGTTGGTTGGTTGGTATCAGGTGGATAGGCGAGTAGATGAATCCACAACAACCGGTAAATATACCACAGCAATCAAATCAAATGCAATCCTCGCTTGCACATGAACGCTACTAGCACGCGTACTCCCTGACCTGGAAGCGGCAGAGGAGCGACTGGGAAGGGATGGACCAGATGACCACGTGTTCTTCGACGCCGACGGCAACCATCGCTGCGCTCTGCTGTGCTCCTCCTCCACCACCACCACCGCCACCAACGCCACGACCGCAGCCAACCTCACCGCTTGCATGCGCTGTGTTTGGCGACAGTGTTGACGGAAACACCTCAGCAATGCACTCGACAGCACCATCGTGCGGCTACAGTGCAGCAGCAGCAGTGGTGGTGGTGGAAGCATGAGCGGTGGGAGAGAACGTGCACGCAGTCAACGAGGAGAAGTGAGTTGCGTGGAGCGCGGGTGTTGGTGGTGCAAAGACGGCACTGTGCTGGAAAGGGCTGTGATGCAAATAACAACGTGCCCACATCAACAACAGAACACGAGCCAGGTGCCAGCAGCACGTACCCCGAGCGTGTACACGCGGCGCTGTGATTTCGGATCCCACACGCGCACAACACCGTCGTCACCACCGCTCGCGATCAGGCCTGGCAGAGCAGCATGTCACGTGACAATAGCGTACCCATGCATGCATGCATTCACGAATGAACGAGAAGCAGGTGCACACGTGTGTGTGTGTGTGTGTGTGATGTGTGGAGTGAGTGTGTGGGGTGTGTTGGATGGCCGATATCGAAGCCTGTGTTGCGCCCCAAGCTGAGACTACACAACCGGCACCACCACTACCAGCCACCATCACCACTGCTTTGCTCACCGGAGCGCAGAACAACAACTGCGTTTACGGCATCATCGTGGCCTGAACACAGGAAGCGAGCAGGAGCAGCGGTAAGCAGAGGGGCGTGGAGGGGCGCAAAACAAATGGGAGGGCAACAGCGGTGGTGGTGGTGACGGTGACGGCAGCAACAATAACACAACGCAACGCAGACACAGACACAGACACACAGACACACACAACACAAACAAAATAAGCGATGGCCGCAGCACAACCCCAGGCAACCTTGAATTGTTGTGGTGCAGCCGCCAACGCAGGAGAGCTGCTCGAGATCACGCCGCTCCTGTGGTGACAGCGGCGCCTCATCACCAGCAGTGATGGCACCGCCCGCATCAACACCCTCGCCCTCATCGTCATCGCTGCCTGCATGCATTTCCTCCTCCACGGCGTCCTCAGACGCAGTTGACGCGATGGACGCGATTCGCGACGCATGGCGCCTCTGCTGTTGCGGGTTGCGAGTGTGTCCACCATTGCTGCTGCTGCTGCTGCTGCTGCTGCTTTTTCTCGCTGCGCGCCTGGGGCTGCCTTTTTGTGTGTCCTGCGCAGTGCCGGTGGAAGAGTGCCGTGCACGTAACAATGATGTGTCGTCGGGCACGGGGCTAGGCGTGGCGTTGCGATCATGCGGGCCGCGTTCATCCTCAACCTCGCCCTCTGCGCTTGCCGCCTCGCTGTCATCTGTGTCGGTGTACGTGCCCGGATGTGGGCGCGCGTCTGGGCGAAGGAGGGCGGCGATGGGATCGTACGATGGCCGCACCCAGCACGACTGCTCTGCGCTGCCCTTGCTACTTTCTTGTGGCCGCGTCGTGCGGCTATGGGATGATGATGATGATGACGACGACGGCGATTCCAGGGGTGCCTTGTTAGAGGTGTTCTTGTGCAGGGACCGCCGCTCACGCGCGCGGCTCGCAGGCCTGCTTCTTCTGCGCTGGGGCCTGGCGTCATCTTGCGCGTTGCAGTGCTTGGGGTCTGTGCCGGCGGTGTTGTTGTTGTTGTTGTTGCTGCTGCTGCTGTTGCTGCTGCGCGGGCTCGGCGGCAGGTCAGCCATGCGGATCAGAGACGGGCCTTGCGCAATTTTCAGCAGGCGACGGGTCCCGGACGAGGGCCGCGTTGGTTGATGCGGGCTGGTGTTGGCTGGGGAAGGACGCGTGTTGATGAACGCTGGGCCAGAGGACGTTAGGCTGTTGCTGCTGTTAGTTCTTGACGAAGACGTTGTGGCGGACGATGTTGAAGGCGTGTTGGCGCACCACGGCACGGAGGACGCCTGCATCAGCGCTGGGCCCATTGCCAGCCTTGATGTCCGTATTCTGGACGTGGTTGTCGCTGATGATGGCCTTGACATGGTGACTGGTCTGCCTTGGGCTTGCCGTGGTTGTGGTTGTGGTTGTGGCTGTGGTTGTGGCTGTGGTTGTGGTTGTGGTTGTGGTTGTGGTTGTGGGTGTGGTTGTGGTTGTGGCTGTGGTTGTGGTTGTGGTTGTGACTGTGCCTGTGGGTGGTGTTGGAGGGGAGGCAGTGCGGTGCGTTGCTGTGCTGAGGTGAGTTGCTGCCGTCGTCTGTGCCGCGGGGACGCCGGCGTTGGCGCTTGCTTCTTGTGTTGCTTCGGCTTTGGAGAGCGGCGATGTTGCCCCTGCAGCCTGTCGCTTGCCCTTCTCACATGCTTTAGCGCTTCCAACTGCTCCTGAACCACACAAAACAAATGGACAATGCGCGCGCGCGTGTGTGTGAGTGTGACGTGTGAGGTGTAACGTGTGACGTGTGACGGTTGAGGTGTGTGTGTGGTACGAAACAGAGCAAGGAAGCGCAAGGTGCTACATCCGGATGAACATTGTATCACACACAGAGACACAGAGACACAGAGACACACATAGAGACACGCAGACACACACACACACACACACACACACACACAAACATACACACACACACAGACACACACACACACATACACACACACACACACACACACACACACACACACACACACACACACACACACACACACACACACACACACACACACACACACACACACACACACACACACTTCACGACCACAAACCTCCCAAGCAGCGAGGTCGGTTGCGGTGGCTGGCGGTTTTCCGTGGAACGACATTACGACGCCACTAAATGGTGTCAGTCAAACCAACTTCGCCAATTGCGGCTGCACAACTTTTTTCTTTTTTTGTTTTGCAATTGGCAAAACGCAGCACCATCACAGCACACACGTGTGCTTTCTTCTTGCATTACTTCTTCCAGCGCTTTCTGCTGACATCCAGGTGTGCGCGATGTTTCGCTGTGGCCAGATGGCGGCAGCGTGGTGTGTGTCTTTGTGTGGGTGGTTGAGAGGGCTGCCCTTGTTGTGCGTGCGGTGTGCTTTCGTGCTTGGAGAGAGTTCAGTTATCTTGCAACAGCACCACCAGCCACGTTGCAACAACACCGCTCGCACGCTCGCAGCAGACACAAAACGGTGCACGGACACCCACAGACACACATCTCTGTCCTCATCCTCATCCTCACCTGGCTTTGTCTCATACTCCCGCCATTACCACCACCACCACCACACCCTCATCAACGCGCAACCCTCACCACGATCGACACATGTAATGTTGCTGCGTGTTTGCGTTTGTGTTTGCGTTTGTGTTTGCGTTTGTGTTTGCGTTTGCGCTTGCCCCGCCCGACACTGCTGTCTTGTCGATGATGAACCTTGCAATTGCTACCTTGCTTGGGGCTCTCGTTCCGTCGTCCCTGATTGTGCTGCGTAATGACTGCGATCAACCTTTTGTTGACACATGTGTCTCTCTACGCTTGTGCTTCCACTCACATTTGCTCTGTTCTCTCGCCTGCTCCACCAATGCTTCCCTGGTGTTCCTCTCGCCGTTTTGCAGATCACAGACCCGTAGCACGCCCTTTGTCACACCAGCGATCCTCGCGTCGTTCCTTTTCCCTTCAAGCACAGTCAGCAAATCGCAGCCATGTCGTGTATGGGCTTGGACGTGGGCTACTTGTCCTCTGTCGTCGCCGTACCCAAGGGTGGCGGCATCGAGGTGCTCCTCAACGACTACAGCAAGCGCCAGACCCCGTACGTGGCCTGTGTTCTGCGTGGTCTGTGTTCTGCGCGGCCTGTGTGCGTTGAATCCCCCATGACATGCATGTGGTGTGTCGAATCAACAATGCCGAATCAACAATGCAGGCGATCGCCCCCGACTTTTTGTTCTCACGGTTGCCCCCGTTTCGTTGACGCGTACACGTGTGCTTGTGTGTGTGTGTGTGTGTGTGTGTGTGTGTGTGTGTGTGTGTGTGTGTGTGTGTGTGTGTGTGTGTGTGTGTGCTTATGTGTGGCCACTTTGTGTCCGTATATCAATCAGGTCATGCATTTCCTTTGGCGACAAGATGCGTTCTCTCGGTGAATCCGGCAAGCAGAGGGTGAGTTAACCTTCTGCATGCGTGTTTGCACGTGTTTGCACGTGTCGTCTTGCACTAGACTCGTCGTGCTTCTGCGTCGATAGTGTGCTTCAGCGCTGCATGGCATTTTGCAGTTTTCGTCTGCCTGTTTGATCACTTGCGCTTCTTTTGCGTTGACCACGATCTTCTGGCCTCCATTTCTTTGTTTGTCCGCGCAGGCTGTCACTGCCTTCAAGCACACCATCACCTACTTCAAGCGCCTCATTGGCCGCAAGTACGACGCACCAGACGTGCAGGTACGACTCGTTGAAGAGGGCGCTTGTTTCAGGAGGAGGAGGAAATTGTGTGTTTTGTTCTTGGGGGGGGGGCTTGTGTGTCGTGCGAGCAACAAGTAGCCACAACAAATGCTGCAAAGTGCACGACGGACCCACACAAATCCATGCTTCTACCACCTTCATTTCGTTTCATCGTTTGCTCTTCACTCCCCCCCCCAAACACACACACGCACATTCTTATTCACTCACACACACACACTCTCTCTCACACCGTTTTGACTGAACGCATGTCCGTGCATCATGCAGGAGGAGCTTGCGCACGTGTACTTTGGCCACTGTGCGCTGCCGGACGGCACCGTGGGCGTGAAGGTGCAGCACGCCGACGAGCAGCTTGTGCTGAGCGTTCCCCAGGTGCTCGCCATGCTTCTGGGCCACCTGCGCACGTGCGCGGAGACCGCGCTCGAGACCAAGGTCGAGGACTGCGTTATGGGCGTGCCCGTGTACTTCAACGACGCCCAGCGGCACGCCATGCTCGAGGCGCTGCAGATTGCGGACCTCAACTGCCTGCGCCTGCTGAATGAGACGTCTGCGGTTGCCGTCAACTACGGCATCTACAAGGGCGATCTGCCCGAGCCGGGCGAGGCGCCGCGCCGCGTGGCGTTTTTCGACTTTGGGCACTCCAACCTGCAGATGTCCCTGTGCGAGTTTGTCAAGGGCAAGGTGACCGTGGTGACGACGGCGGCGTGCCCGGTTGGCGGGCGGGACTTTGACCGCGCACTGCTCAAGGAGATGGCCAAGCGCTTTGAGGAGAAGACCAAGCTCAACTTCCTCAGCAAGCCGCGCGCCGCCATCCGCATGGAGACCGAGTGCGAGAAGCTGAAGAAGATGATGAGCGCCAACGCCACGGACATTCCCATGAACGTGGAGTGCCTCATGGAGGACCGCGACTTCAGCACCAAGATGAACAGGGACGAGTTTGAGCAGCTGTGCGCCCCCGTCTTTGACAAGGTCCGTTCCACCGTCGCCGGGTTTGTCGACGACCTCAAGAACCGCGACATCGCAATCTCAGACCTCCACAGGTGTGTGTGTGTGTGTGTGTGTGTGTGTGTGTGTATTGCGCGTGTGTGCTTTGTGCATTTTGTGGCTTTGTGTGTGTGTCTGGATGACCTTGTTCTGTTGCCCCCCCCCCCTCTTCTGCTTGCTTGTCGTGCGGCTCTGAGCAAGCGCGACGTTCAGGGCGCACATGTGTTACTCTTTTCCCTTGCCGTTGCACCCATTGTCGTCGTTGCTATCTGTACACATACCACCCCCCTCTCCTACACCTTCCTTGACTTTGCTGCTTTTCGGCCCGCGCACGTGACGCACTCGCTCACCAACACCTTGCCAACGCCGTCCCGTTCTGGCTGCGCCCCCATCCACTGCGCCAGTGTTGAGATTGTGGGCGGGTCGTCTCGCATCCCACTCGTGAAGCAGATCCTGATGGATACCTTTGGCGCCGCCCCTCACACCACGCTCAACGTCGACGAGGCCGTTGCCCGCGGCTGCGCGCTCATGTCGGCCATCATGTCCCCCATGTTCCGCGTGCGCGACTTCAAGCTGGACGACGCGACGCCGTACGCCGTGAACCTCTCGTGGCAGTCGACCAACCCCGAGGAGGAGGAGGGCCAGAGCCAGAGCGAGATCTTCTCCGCCAACGGCATGGCCAACGTCACGAAGCTGCTGACATTCTACCGCCAGGAGGACTTTGAGTTTACGGCGACGTACGCCAACCCGGAGCGCGTGCCCGACCAGCCGAAGCAGATTGGCAACTTCAAGATCCAGGGCGTCAAGCCAAGCTACGACGGCGAAAAGCAGAAGGTCAAGGTCGAGGTGAGTTTTGAAGCGCACAGCCCCGCGGCGGTGCTGCGAGTATTTATGCAATTGTACTGTCCCTACCACCCCTTGCTGCGCCGGTGTGTGTCTGATTGTGTGTGTGTGTGTGTGTGTCTCTCTCTCTGTCTCTGTCTCTCTCTGTCTCTGTCTCTCTCTGTCTCTGTCTCTCTCTCTGTCTCTCTCTCTGTCTGTCTCTGTCTGTCTCTCTCTCTGTGAGTGTCGATTTCTCCCTACCTGCCTTGCTTGTTTGTTCTGATCATCCACCGATATACACGTGTGCTTGTTGGTTTGTTTGTTTAGGTGCAAATGGACCTGAACGGGTGCCTGAACGTGCGCTCGGCGACAATGCTGGAGAAGGTGCCGCCCGCAGAGGACGCTGCAGAGACGCCAAAGACCCCGGCAAGTGACAACACTATGGACACGGTAGGCACACACACGTGCATATCAACTCCAAGCCTCCGCTTTGTTTTGTTCCTTCAATGATGCCCACAATTCCTCGCTGTGCGTGTGCAATTCTTGCTCTGGTGAATTCTTGCCCTTGGGCAATATATTTTTCTTCGCGCTCGCTGACCTTTGTCGTGTCGACACATGGCATGCATGTACACGATACTCCTTATCGCCGCATGTGAATGTCCGTGGTGCTTCTTTGCCTGATGTTCGTGCAGACGGAGGACAAGGCGAAGGACGACGAGTCCTCTGAGGAGCCCGCGGCGAAGAAGCCCGAGCTGGAGAGCGAAGGCGACGACGCAAACAAGGCGAGCGGCAACGACAAGAAGAAGAAGAAGGGCGGTGACAAGAAGAAGGACGACAAGAAGAAGGATGACAAGAAGGACGAGAAGGCCGAGGAGAAGAAGGATGAGAAGAAGAAGAAGAAGGTCAAGAAGGTCAAGCTGACAGTTGTCACGTGGAAGCCCTGCCTCAAGATGCAGTCCGAGATCAACGACCTCGTCGAGGTGTGTGTGTGTGTGTGTGTGTGTGTGTGTGTGTGTGTGCTCGTGGTTTGTGTGTGTGTGCTCGTGGTTTGTGTGTGTGTGTTTTTGTGCTTGTGGCACGCACGCGTCTGCGAAAGAAACAGCCACGCACCGCACTCGACAATCATCCACTTGTGCGCACTCGCTCAACACTCACACCCAATCGCATCTCCAACTTTCCTCTTGCTCTCTCTTGTCCCCTGCCTATGTATTGTTGGTTGTGTTCAGTTTGAGGCGAAGATGAAGGTGCAGGATCTGCACGAGAAGGAGAAGAACGACGCGCGCAACGCGCTTGAGGAGTACATCTACGAGATGCGCGACAAGCTGTCGTCGGTCTACGACGGGTTTATGACGCAGAACGACCACGACGAGTTCCGCTCCCGCCTCTCCCAGATGGAGGACTGGCTGTACGAGGAAGGCGAGGACCAGCCAAAGACGGTGAGCCCCGCGTGCGTTTATGTGTGTGTGTGTGTGTGGGGGGGGGGGTTCATGACTACAGCACCGCATTAGTACGCTGCTGCTGCTGGTGGTGATGATGAGGTTGTGCTGTGCTGTACATTTTTCTTTCAAACCTTACATCGCACACTCGTGCACGCGCTCTGCGTTGTGTTCAGGTGTACATTGAGAAGCTTCAGGGCCTGCAGGCGACGGGCAACGAGGTCAAGGCGCGTGCGCAGGACTGGGAGACGCGCCCCAGGGCCGAAGAGAAGCTGAGGGAGACCATTGTCCACTTCCGCAAGTTTGTTGACGAGCACGCTGCGGGCGAGGAGAAGTATGCTCACATTGCCGCGGAGCAGGTGAAGAAGGTTGCGGACGCCGTAGCCGAGACGGAGGAGTGGCTCAACACCAAGTCCGCCGAGCAGGCCAAGCTGCCCAAGGTGAGCAACCGCACTGTTTTGCCGTGTCATGGAGGTGTTACTTGCTGCTTGCCTGCAGTCAACGTGGAGGTGCATCCCTTGGTGTTGATTTGAAACAACCTATGCACACACATGCACGACGTCGTCCACGCACACTAAACTACTCGCATGCACACCCAACACAACAAACACACACACACACATACATTCATACACATACTTTGTGGGGCTGCAGTCGACACCGCCTGTGCTGACGACCAAGGACCTCGATGCCAAGCGCAGCGAGCTTGAGCGCACGTGCAACCCAATCATGTCCACGCCCAAGCCCAAGGTGGAGCCGCCAAAGGAGGAGGAGAAGAAGGCCGAGCAGCCCGAGGGCGATGCCCAGGACAAGAAGGCTGAGGGCGAGGAGGCCGACGCTGCCGCCGCCAAGGAGGGCGACAACAAGCAGGAAGGCAGCGAGGAGCCCGCAAAGGGCGACAACGTCATGGACACTGACTGAGCAGCACATGAACTTGTGGTGGCACCAAGTTGACCCCGTCACAGCCGTGCTGCCATTCGTCTCCTCGTGTTGTGTGTTTGTCATTCGCTGGCTGGTGTTGTGTGTGTTGTCCTGTGGTTTGTTTGGTTTGGGTTGCTTCTTTCTCTCGTTTGTTGCTCCCTGGGAGCGCTTAGTCAGTCCGATCGATCCTCCCGAGTAAAGTGTCAAGTGAACGGTGAAATGTGGAATGGGTGGGCGTGGGGGGGGGGGGCGTGGCAACAGCAAGAAAGCAATCGAGTGAATTATTTCGTTGTTGCTCCTGTCCTACCAACGGAATCGTGCCAGCCAGTGATTTCGAGAGACAGAGAACAGGAGACACGATGGAAGCAGTGGTCAAGGGCGACGTGACGGCGCAGGATGGATTGGGCTCTGCTCAGGTACACCTTGTTTTGTGTGTGTGTGTGTGTGTGTGTGTGTGTGTGTGTGTGTGTGTGTTGTCTGTTTGTGTGTGTGCACACGCCCGTGTCTGTCTGTCTGTGTGTATGTGTGTGTGCGTTGTCTGTGTGTGTTTGTGTGCACGCCCGTGTCTCTCTCTCTCTCTGTCTCCCTCTCTGTCTCTGTCTCTCTGTCTCTCTGTCTCTCTGTCTCTCTCTGTCTCTCTGTCTCTCTCTGTCTCTGTCTCTCTGTCTCTCTCTCTGTCTCTGTCTCTGTCTCTCTCTGTCTCTGTCTCTGTCTCTGTCTCTGTCTCTGTCTCTGTCTCTCTGTCTCTCTCTGTCTCTCTGTCTCTCTGTCTCTCTGTCTCTCTCTCTCTCTCTCTCTCTCTCTCTCTCTCTGTCTCTCTCTCTGTCTGTCTCTCTCTCTCTCTCTGTCTCTGTCTCTGTCTCTCTGTTTGCCTGCGCCTTCTCTGCTCACAGTGTGTTTGTTGGGTTGTTGGATGCCGACGCGGCCGTTGCAGGTGCGAGCCTTCATCTCTTCCACGTTTACCGACACCGTGCATGAACGAAATGAGATCCTCCTCAAGGTGAGCCAACCCATGCGACCCACTTGCTTGCTTGCAGCAACCCACACCTGACGACCGTAATGCTGTAATGTGACCTCACGCCAATCAACAACAACCCCCTCCCCCCACTTGTACTGTGGTGCATACAAACAGGTCGTGCCCAAGGTCCGCGCATTTGCCAAGACAAAGGGCTATGACTTTTCACCCGCAACCATGCGATGGGGCGTGACCAAGGCTCACGCCAACAACCACAGTCACGCTGAACTGTGCATCAAGGAAGTCAAGCAGTGCATGAAGCTCTCAGGTCAGGATCTGTGAGCGCGTATGTGCGCGCATGTTCCTTGCGCGTGGGTGTGCATCCGTGCAGGTTATAGTTGCGCACCCATCCCTCATTCACATGCACACGCACACGCACATCAATGGCACGCCACATGTGCGGCATGCATTATCACATTGCAGAGGGCATTGCCTTCATCAGCCTGCTTGGCCAGAAGTTTGGCTTCCAGCCCTTCCCAAGCAACATTGAGCAGGGCGAGTTTGAGAAGCTCGTGGATGCACTCCGTCAATCCGATCAAGGTGTAAGCACCATGCTTTCGCTAACACTGCACTGAACTCTCAATGCGCATCAGCACGCTCCAAGCCATGGCCGTGCACAGCAGCAACCATGCACGCGCTTTTCACACAGACATACATTCACACACACACACACACATACTCTCTCTCTCACACACACACACACTCACGAACACATCTGGTGTGTTCGTGGTTCGCTTTGGTCCACCAGACGAGGCAAGTGCAATTGAGCAGCTTGAGCGCTGGTTTGAGCTGGACACGAACAAGCAGCCGGCCAAGTACGTGCTGCGGCCCATCACAGACCTCCACCCGGCATATGGCGATGACTCCCGGCCAGATGAGGTATTTTGCCGAACGCTTGGAATATCGACACACTCACACAAAACGTGCACTCACTCACTCACTCACACACACACACACACACACACTCACTCACTCACTCACTCACTCACTCACTCACTCACTCACTCACTCACTCACTCACTCACACTCACACTGCAGGCGCGGGCAGCCAGCGGGGCGTGGTGGGGCGAGTTTGATGTGATGCAGAAGGCACTCAGGCGCGCGTGTGTTCTTGCTGGTCTTCCAGAAGACGAGCAGATCAAGTATCTCCAATCCGGTATGCACAGTCAACCCCACAGCCATGGCTCTGATTGTCGTGTGCCTGCTTTGACAGAATACACCAACACAACTACACCACGCACACAGATGCACACATGCACACACGTTCATATATGTACACACACACTCACTCACACATTCCACCACCCTTGATCAATTTGGCGTCATCCCACCCTCATGCCCTCGCCACCCGTCTCACGCAACCATAACGGGCCACCACCTCTTCAATGTGCCATCAGTGACGGAGGATGAGACGCGCGTCGGTCTCAAGCCGGACGCCAACGCAACCGTCCTCGTGCCGGACATCAACGAGCGTGTCGTCTGGTTCAAGCGCACCATCGCCAACATTGAAGGTCAGCAAGCATTTGTGTGTATGTGTGTGAGTGTGTGTGTGTGTGAGTGTGTGTGTGTGTGTGTGTGTAGTGGACATGTGTGTTTCTCTGTGCTGATGTGTTCAAAACCATGAAGTCAAGCTCCTTATTACCCTACGCACACATACACGCTCGCATGCTCACATGCACACAATCAACACATACACATACACATACACATACACATACACATACACATACACATACACATACACACACGTCACCTCTCAACCCCTCCCCACTCCAACCAGACAAAGTGGGGGATCCGGCTGCGTTCAACTTTGTGGACGTCGTTGATGGGCAGCTGGACGAAGGTTCGCAGAAGCGCCTCAACAGCGTGAAGGACGAGTTCATTCCGTCCACGGGCCTGACCAACATCACGGAGTACACCCTCTCCACCTGGAGTCCAGACAAGGGCGTCGACCCCTCGCTTCCCGTACGCGCTTTGACGTCGTATGATGTTGCTGATTTGTTTCGAGCCGGCATGGCACAACTGCAACATACACCCATGCCCGCGTAAACACCCACAGTCACACACATACACACACACACACTCTCTCTCTCTCACGCACGCACACACACACACACACACACACAAATGTAGGAGCACCGGCAGTACCTCGACAAGCTGACAGCGGACGCTGAAGCCGCTCTGAAAGCGTCCATCACCAAGGCCGCAGAAAAGGTTGCAAGCACACACACACACCACACACACACACCACACACACACCACACACACACACACACACACACACACACACACACACACACACACACACACACACCCCGCGCGCGCCACTGTTGGCTGATGTTGTCACAGGCAATCTTGAGAGCATAATAATCAGGGCATTACTCTGTGTGTGTATTGTGTTGACAGGCAACGGCGCTGCGATTCGACACGACCTTCGTTGAAGCGGCCACTCAAGCCCGCTTCTGCCGCGAACGCGTGGAGGTACACGTGCATGCGTTGTTCCCCCGTGGTTGCACAACGTGCATACCTGGCACCTATTCACACGCACACACGCAATATCTCACGTTCACTCGTTCACTCCACCTGCACACGCATACACACGTCAAACTTGAAACACCAGACGTTCTACGGGCGGGAAGAGCTTGTGGCCAAGGTGACCGGGTATCTAGAGCAGGATGCGAGCGATGGCGTTGAGCCGTTTGTGCTGTACGGGCGATCTGGCAGCGGCAAGACGTCCATCCTCGCCAAGGCCGCACACGAGGCCAGCGCCAAGTACGCAAAAGGCGGACAGCACCAGCTGATCCTGCGCTTCATCGGGTGAGTCACAGCAGACGTCTGGTTTGGGACGGTGCCTTGGTTGCGTGTTTGCTTGTGTATACGGGGAAGGGTGCGTGAATATTTATAGTCGTGTTTAGTGTGTGTGTGTGTGTGTGTGTGTGTGCGTGCGTGTGTGTGCGTGTGCGTGCGTGCGTGTGCGTGCGTGCGTGTGTGTGTGTGTGCTTTATGGCTTCTGTGTACTTTCGTGGTTGATACCTGGTGCGGAGCCCCCTGCTCACTTGCGTTGCGTGATGTCACAATGTCGCACACTTATCTCACTTTTTCTTCCTCTGCGCCCAATCGTTAATCGTTTCCCAGCACAACCAGTGGCTCGACCACGATTGTGCAGCTGCTGCAACTCATCTGCAAGCAAATCCGCCGCCACTACGGCGAACCAAACCCGGATGCAGTCAAGGAAGGTGCGGTGGTCATTGATGATGCACACAATCCTACATGCACACACACATTTTGTTCACGTATGAACATTTATGACCGCACACGCACGCGTACACACGTACCCACATACACACACACAACACAATTTGCTCACGCATGAACGTCTATCGGCCGACACACTAACCCTTTCCCCCACACCCGCCTTCTCCGCAACGCCACTGCCGCAGAGCTTGCTGAGCTGATCCAGGACTTCAAGACGTGTCTTGAGCTGGCGACGGCAGAGAAACCGCTCATGCTCTTCCTCGACTCGCTCGACCAGCTCTCCCCAGAGGGCGGTGCCAGACAGGTGCAAATATGCGCCTTGGGGAGAGGCACGTGGAGTGGCTTGTACTTTCGAGTGGCACAAGTTGTTCGGGAGTGAAGCGCTGTGGTGTGACTTGGACTTGCAATGTGCACTGCCGACTCACACCCATCCTTTGTTTCACGTATGACCAACATGATACGCCACACATGCCCGTGCGTCTTTCTGCGTTGACACCATAACAGCTGCGCTGGCTTCCTGCGCCAACACTGCCGCCCCACGTGCACATGGTGCTGTCCACGCTCCCGGAGGCGAAGTACGAGTGCTTTCCTCGCCTCGATGCTATGTACAGCGTTAACTTTGTCGAGGTACGACCAGAACATGGCCCAGTGCGCGCGCGCGCGCGTGTGTGTGTGTGTGTTGTGCATTGTCGTTCTGTGGAGGCGGTGGACGAGGTGTTGTTGGAGGGAAACTCCATTCCACTGTTTCGGTGTGCATTGTCGCCATCATTGAACACATGGAGCATATCGTCATATTCCGTCACTGGCCTGATCATGAACGCATGATGCTCTCATACTTCATGTGTTGTAAGGTGGTTCCGCTGAACATGGAGACGGATGTTCCACGCATCATCACCTCCTGGTGCACCGCCAACGGTCGCTCCCTCACAGACGAACAGCGCAGCATCGTATGTCGTGCGCTCTTGTGTGTGTGTGTGTGTATGTGTATGTGTGCGCATGTGTGTGTGTGTGTATGTGTGTGTGTGAGCTAATGTGCGTGCACCTGAGCTTTGTCTTTGTTTATCGCTGTGCTCATGTGCTCATGTGGCCAAGCTTGCCGGCATGCTCGTCTGTGCACGTTGACTGGCGACGTTCAATTCCCACTCGTCCCTCATTGTGTTGTCCTCTGCTGCGTGTACTCTCTCCCTCTTCAGGTGCTGGCGGCGTGCAAGGCGTGCCCCTACCCGCTGTACGTGCGGATGGCGCTGGACGAAACGCGCGGGTGGAAGAGCACGACGCCACCGGACGAATGCTCCCTCAAACCGGACATCCAGTCCATCATCGACAACCTGTTTGAGCAGCTGGAGGTTGCACACGGAAAGCGCTTCATCTCCGCAGCGCTCGGATACATCACCGTCACCTATCGAGGTCGGTGGTGCATGCTGTTGTGCATTTGCATCTGCGTCCAAGGGCGATGTGGGGCTGGTGCCTGCCAGTACACGCACGAAGATACGTTGTACCAGCATGTTTGCAATGGCTGATGCGCTTGTTTGCTCGTTTTGCGTATCTGCTGCCGCCATTTCTTTAGGTCTCTCCGACACGGAACTCGAAGACATCCTCTCCTGCAACGAAGAGGTGCTGTTGTTGCTGTTGTCGAATACTGCAAAGCTTGAACGCAATGCTGTCACGTATCTGCCAATTGCAATTACCACTTCCCCTTTGCACCGAAGCCTACTCTCTTGCGTGCTCACACATACACCCTGGCATGCAACCACTCACTGTGTGGTTTTTTCCCACCGTTGCTGCCTGGTTGTGCTGATTGTGCTGATTGTGCCGGTTGGTTGGTTGGTTGGTTGGTTGGTTGGTTGGTTCACAGGTGCTTGAGCGCATCTTCGAGTACTGGCTGCCGCCCCAGCGCCGAATCCCACCGCTCCTGTGGGCGCGTGTGCGCGACATTCTCGGGGGATTTCTTGTTGAGCGCGGGTCTGGCTCCACGCGCGTGCTCAGCTGGCACCACCGCCAGTTTGTTGAAGTTGCGCGCCGTCGCTACTGCCCCGAGGGCAGCGCAACAGCCAAGCAGCTGGCGTCCGACGTCGCTGACCATTTCCTCGGCAAATGGGCGGGAAAGAAGAAGCCGTTCAGCCCGTCGCCAGACCAGCAGAAGCGCTTTGGTCTCCCAGCACATGGTGAGCATGCACACGTGTGTGTCTGTATGTGTTTGTCTGTGTGTGTGTGTGTGTCTGTCTCTCTCTCTCTCTCTCTCTCTCTCTCTCTCTCTCTCTGTCTCTCTCTCTCTCTCTCTCTCTCTCTCTCTCTCTGTCTCTCTCTCTCTCTCTCTCTCTCTCTCTCTCTCTCTCTCTCTCTCTCTCTGTCTCTCTCTCTCTCTCTGTCTCTCTCTCTCTCTCTCTCTCTGTCTCTCTCTCTCTCTCTGTCTCTCTCTCTGTCTCTCTCTCTCTCTCTCTCTCTCTCTCTCTCTCTCTCTGTCTCTCTCTCTGTCTCTCTCTCTCTCTGTCTCTCTGTCTCTCTCTCTCTCTCTCTCTGTGCATCCTCCCTCCCCCTAACTTGCTTCAGCCTCCAACTCATTATTCACTGCCTTATGCCATTCCTGTCCCCTTCTGTGCAGATGAAGCCGACCGTCTCGTCACGCCGCAGCCGCTCGTGCACGTCTCCGACGACGAGTTGTACGTCAAGCACCCGCTGCTGCTGCTGCTGCTGCTGTTCATGTTGGGTGTATGTTATGTACTCACGTGTGCTAACTGCTAAACCATGAATCATGTTTGCTCCTTGTCCAAACAGCAACTGGCGCGAGCATTCGCAGGCGAACATCCGCAAACTGGAAGAGCTCCCACACGTCCTCGCCGTCTCGAACAGGTACGTGCACACGCGTGATGCGTTCGTGAATGTATGTGTGTGTGTGTGTGTGTGAATGCATGTTTGCGTGTGTTTGAGTGTGTGTGTGTGTGTGATCATGTGCGTGCGTCGGGAGGCACCACCACATTTAGACTGCTGTGCAACACGACCAACAACAACGTCATCATTCACAACCCACTGCATTCAATGACAGGATCACGGAGCTGGTGGAGTTGTGTCTGTGCAACTTTGATTTCCTTCTGCTGAAGATGCGCTGCTTTGGCAAAGTCGCCGTCTTGTCGGATTTCGAGCTCATCAGCAAGCACGGTATGTGTGTGTGTGTGGTGCAACTTGCTGCTGATCATTGTTTGTCCGGCTTGAGGTGTCACTGACGCCGTCTCTGTCCATCGATACATCTGTCCTCACTCCTCATTGGTCTCTCCGAACATCACGTTCCAGACACGAGCGGGTGCGATCCCCACCTGCTTCGCGCCGCAACGTTGACTGGCCTTTCCATCCGGCTTGCGCCTGCTGATCCGGAACAGCTCGCCAGTCAGATCACTGGCCGACTCAACGGCGCCCGCGCCAACACGTACATCGACAAGCTCATCGCCCAGGTGCGAAGGCTGTGTGCGTGTGTGTGTGTGTGCATATGTGTGCGTGTCTGGATGTATTGTATGTCGATCAATTTGGTGTATCATCTTGCCTGCTTGCACACCTGAGCCATTTACACGCTACCAACTTGTTCTTCTGCGTGTTGCGCTTCTGTGTGTATGTGTTGGCGGGGGTTAGATTTGGGCGTCGCCGTACACGGCCAACCCAACCATTGTGTGCTTGAACGCGTGCATGGACCCTCCATCCGCCTCAAAGCGCCACGTCTTTGGCCACCCGGTACAGCTGGCTCTTCCGTTTGCTGGATGCATTGCAGCGACTCTCGCCTTTCTGTTTCTCGAAGCAGAGGCGGTGCACACACACACACACTCACTCACTCACTCACTCACTCACTCACTCACTCACTCACTCACTCACACACTCACACACTCACTCACACACACTCACACACACACTCACTCACACGCTCACACTCACGGAATCACTCACACTCACGCACTCGCTCGCACTCACGCTCATGCTCACACACCCATGCTCACACTGACACGTGTGTCAACTGCAGGACAAAGTGCGCAACTTTGCGATCAACCCGACCGAGACGCTCGCGGCCGTGGCCTGCGATGACCGCAAGACATATGTGTGGAGTCTGGAGGATGGAGAGCAAGTTGCCATTCTCGGACCGCACGACTGGGTAAGGGGCGGTGTTCATGTGTACATTGAACAACTGTGATCGGTGTTGTTGTCGTCGTCGTCGTTGTTGTTGTTGTTGCTGTTGTCGTTGTCGTCGTTGTTGTTGCTGTCGTTGTTTGTTTAAGTTGTTGTTGCTGTCGTTGTTGTTGTTCTTGTTCTTAATGTTGCTTGGACTCTGGTCGTAAGTGGAACTACTGCGCGATAGCACCACAATGCCGACCATCTCAGTCCTGTGCCCTCACACTGTCACTCCCCTCTCTCCGTCCCCTGCCTTCGCGCCTGCTTCATCGACTGCAGATGTGCCGGGCCGTGTGCTTCACGCAGCAGGGCGACCGCCTGATCACCTCGTCTTGGAGCGGCCAGATCAAGGTGCGCACAACATCCAATCAGTGCGCACTTGGTACTCACCCAAATGTTTGTGATTAATGTGGGATGGGTGAAAGCGAGAGTCTACCTCGGATAACGGGTGCCATGTTGAGAATTGATCCACGCGCGCCGCAACACACCACTACCAATTCTTGCGTCTTGCTTGCATTGCTTACACTCCTTGCACTGCCATCAGATCTGGGATGTGGAGACGTGGCAGGAGCTGAAGGACTTCATGCTGAAGAGTGAAGAGCGCAACGCCGACTTTATTGAGCGGCTGTGCATGGCCGAGGACGGAAAGACGCTGCTGTCCGCCGCACACGACAACCGCATCCACTTCATCGACGTACGTGTATTTGTGTTTGTGTGTGTGTGTGTGTGCGTGTGTGTGATTGCTGACGCTGTGCATGTGTGGTTGTGTGTGTGTGTGTGTGTGTGTGTGTGTGTGTGTGTGTGTGTGTGTGTGTGTACCATTGCATTTTGAGTGCCTTCGTCTCTCTCCTGTGCACATGCCTTGTGGTTACTTCATGTATTCCACCACCCCATTTGCTTGATTCTCTGCCTACTTGTGCGTTCCCTGTATCATGTGTCCAGTTGGATGAAGGAGAGGTTAAGCAGTCGCTTGAACTATCAGGCGCCTCAGAATGCACAGTCAAGGGTGAGTTCACTCACATGTTACATGTCCTGCTTGCAAGATTGCTTTTCCAAGCGCAGTGTTTTTTTTTTTTTTTTTTTTTTTTTTTTTTTTGGTCATAACCCTGTTGGTGTTCTCACTCCATCACACCACAATGTGGTGGTATGTACCTGTTGCGCTCAGGTCTGGACGTGCATGCCAAGGGCCACAAGATTGTCGCGGCGAACGAACGCGGAACCATGGTGCTGTTCAAGTTCACAAACAACATGGTGAGACGATGTCGTGTCAACAGTCCTATGTCCTTGATCACTCCTCTCCTGTTGATCACAACATGCGGCATCGAAGGATTGCACCGTGGTGATACGCTTGTTCTATGTGTTTGTTCTCGTTCCCTCATGCCACCGTCCCTTATCCCTACATTGTGATGCTCTTCCTGTTGCTGTTGTAGTGGACGCGCGCGTGCACGACGGATATCGGACACGGTGCTAGCGGCTGCTGTTTCGTTGCAGACACAGACGATGTCGTCGTTTGCGATGACAGTGACGTGTTCAGGTGTGTGCGTGCGTGTGTGTGTGTGTGTGTGTGTGTGTTTGTGTTTGTGTCATCAGCGTTGTTTTGATCTGTCATCATCCCTCTATTTCTCCTTGTTCACCTTGTCCACATCATGCGCATTATCTAATAGGTTCAAAACCAGCGGCGGGAAGTTTGAGCAAGTGTGGTCCACCACGCTTGGCAAACTGCTCAGCGTGCATGCAGATGAGCAGTTTGTGTGTGCGTCGTCACACACGGGTGTTCTGCATGTGCTGGACAGTCGCGGAAAACGTCTGCGTCAGATTGAGAGCCACACGGAGTGGATCGACAACTGCAGGGTCATTGGAGACAACATCTACTCCTGTGCGTGTGTACACATGAATGAATTGTGTGTATGTATGTATGTATGTATGTATGTATGTATGTATGTATGTATGTATGTATGTATGTATGTATGTATGTATGTATGTATGTATGTATGTATGTATGTATGTATGTATGTATGTCTGCATGCATGCATGTATGTATGTATGTATGTATGTATGTATGTATGTATGTATGTGTGTATGCATGTATGTATGTATGTATGTATGTATGTATGTATGTATGTGTGTATATGTATGTATGTATGTATGTATGTATGTATGTATGTATGTATGTATGTATGCATGCATGTATGTATGTATGTATGTATGTATGTGTGCATGTAAGTATGTATGTATGTATGTATGTATGTATGTATGTATGTATGTATGTATGTATGTATGTATGTATGTATGTATGTATGTATGTATGTATGTATGTATGTATGTATGTACGCGTGTCGTACACGTTTGCGAGCATGTGTCGCAGAGATATGTGAAGAGCACTCCACCCCTTCCCTCATTTGTTGTCACGATTTCGCCAATCACAGGCAGCCAGGATCGAACCGTGCGCGCGTTCAAGGCCATTGAAAGCGAGGGCGACCAAGACAGCGATGAGCTGGTGGGTACAGACATGAACTTCGTGTGTTTGTGCCTTGTACCTGCATGTCTTGGATGCATGATACATGCGCCGTACATTGTCTGACCGCTTTGGCTGCGTCATCTCGAATGCAAGTCGTCTCCGCCACTGCTGCCACACGTGTTGCACTTGCTTCTCGCCCTTCAATTCATTTATTTCGATTGGTGCCTTTACACAGGATCCACCAGCGATGCACAGCAAGGACGTCAGCGCTGTCACGGGCAACAACGAATACGCCTTTAGCTGCTGTGGCTCTGACTCGTTTATTCTGCAGTGGGATCTTGGTACGTGTGTGTATGCGTGTGTGTGTGTGTCTTTGTGTCTTTGTGTCTTTGTGTCTTTGTGTCTTTGTGTGTGTGCTCTGCAGTTGAAAAGTGAGCGGCTGAAGCTGTGTTTCGTGGCAGCCTTTTGGATTTGCTTCGACCCCTGCTGACCGTTTCCTGTCGCCAGCACCACACCTCAACTCAAGCCATGTATCTTGTCGTGCTCAGCTCACTTGCCATCGCTGTATGCTTTGTTTGTTATGCAGCCACTGGCAGTGTTGTTCGCCGCCTTCCACTCGACAGTTCGGAGCTCACCATCTCCGCAGATGGCCGCTTCCTTGTGGGCAGTTTTGGAACGTTTGAAATTGCCACAGACACCGTATGTGCAACGTTTCATATGTGTGTGTGTGTCTGGCTGACTTCTTGCCTCGGAAGTACCCATCAACAACCACCATGACTCACATGCACGTTGTTTCTGTTGCCATTTGGCAACTGTAGCTGCAACAAGGGTCCCTCGCGCGCAGCACATATTCTGGCACCATCGCTGTGAGTGTTACTTGTCATTACGTATCCTGTGTGCGTGTGTGTGTGTGTGTGTCCCGACTTGTTGCACAAGACTCACACCTTGATGCGTCCACGTGGCGGCACACACCAACAGCACAGCCTCGATGGGCGCTATGTGCTGAAGACAGGCATTGGCATGTCAGATGACACGCGCGTGAGCATCACGGACCTGCAGACAAACCGAAGCGTCAACTCAAAACTCAAACATGACAAGTATGAGGCGGCAGGCATGGCATGACGTGCACGCAAGAGTGTGAATGTACTAGTGCGCGTGCTTGTGCGTGTGTGTGTGTGTGTCCGCTTCATACACACATATACTCTCTCTCTCTCTCCCTCTCTGTCGTCGTCCTTTCTGCTCATTTTGCATGTGTGCCGGCCTGGTGTGCAGACTGATTCGTGCTGTCGTCATGTCGACGGATGGCACGCGTGTCGCCACTGTTGGCGATGACGGTGAAGCAAAGTACGTGGCAACGTACCATGTGTGCTGCGTTATGCGGTGCTGTGTGTGTGTGTGTGTGTGTGTGTGTGTGTGTGTGTGTGTGTGTGTGTGTGTGTGTGTGTGTGTGTGTGTTGTGTTGTGTCCATTTACATGTGAAACCTTATTTCGGTGGCAGCGTTGTTGACACTTGTGCGTTCTTGCTTGAACGCTGCTGTGATATCGATGGTTCCTCATATTTCATTGTGTGTGTGTGTGTGTGCACGCGGTAGGATTTGGTCGTGGCCGGAGCAACAGCTTGTGAAGACGGTTTCTCTCTTCCGCCCGGCCCTGACCACCGCCATTTCGCCCGATGGCACCATGATGATCGCGTACGCGCCCAAACATATCCTGTGCTTTGTTTGGGCGTGTTGTTTGCGGGTGCTTCAGTGCTTTTCTGCTTTAATGGCACGCTCTGCCTCTTTGTGCACATGTTCGTTTCCACAACTTTCACACCTTCATCCTCTCTCTTGTCCATCACACCCTCGCTCACTCAAAACTCTTATCAAACACACACACTCTCAACCACACCATCCCTCATCTCAAACATGCACGCGCCCTTCGCGAACCATCACTGCCCAGTGCCATCAAGGGCGGCCTGGTGTACATCATCGACCTGAAGAGCGACCGGCGCCTGAACGATCTGGAGCACTTCAAGGCCGATCGAGACAACTATGCGCGTCTTGTCATCTCCTCCACGTTTTCGAAGGATTCGCGCTACGCTCTCAGCGGCGGCCGCGACCGCATCGTCAAGGTGTGTTTTGTGTGAGTGTGCTTGTGTATGTGTGTGTGTGTGTGTGTTTATGCCTGCTAATGCGTGCAGAGTTGTCACTCAACACACGTCTCTTGCCATCACCTGTTTTGTCATGCGCACTTCATGCACAGGTCTGGGACACCCAGAATGGCGACTGCGTGGCTCAGGCGACGTTTGAGGGCGGTGTCGACAAGATGGAGCGCACCCTCGACGGCGCATTCGTCGCCGGAACACAGGGTCTGTCATCGTCATGCTCTGTGTGTGTGTGTGTGTGTGTGTCTGTCTGCCTGTCTATCTGTCTGCAGCGTCGTTTCATCGTCCTGTTGTTCCTGAGCTTTTACACGCTCACGCACACGTTCACACACACGTTCACACACACACACACACACACACACACACACACACACACACACACACACACACACACACACACACACACATTCACACACACACACACACGTTCACACACACACACACCTTCCACCATCGTTCCACCAGGCGGCTACGTCGCTCTCTTCCGCTTGAAGGGGGGAAAGCAGACGGCTCCGCCCAAGTTTGCCCGCAGCAACCTGTACGTGAACACCACTGCTACTGCCACACGCCACACTTGAATGTCCTGCTGTTGGGGCGTACTCGTCTGCGTTTCGCAACTACAGCTTTGTTCTTGGTGTTGTGTCGTTGTTTCACAGTCAGGCCTCACTTCGTGCGTGCTTGTGTATTTGTGTAAATTATCAACACTCATCTCGTCTGCGTTCTGCGTGCACAACAGGGATGTCGACACCACGAACATCACGTACACGGTGGCAGACACCTCGTGCTGCTGCTCCATCGCCTGAGCCCCACGACAAAGTGACGCTCGCCGCTTGCCGTCCTCCTCCCGTTGGTTTCTTGCGTGCTCTTGTGCTGCTGTGCGTTGTTTCCGTTTGTGCGTTCCGTGCGCGAAACAAGCGCATGCACACATGCGGTGGCCCCATTGTGCTTTTGTGCGTGCTTGCCTTTTGCGTTCGGCTGTTCCCACAACTTGCACACGTTCCCCAACCCACCGATACACACGCACATGTGTTTTAAGTCGGCCAATGGTCTTGCTCTGTTGTTCAATGAGTGTGACGGAAAAAGCCAGAACGCACAACGAGAGAGATGCGCAGTGGGGTAACAGAGGGAGGAAAGGAAAAGCAAAACACACGCGCAACAAGGTGAGCAAAATCAGGCAGTAGGAAGGAGTGCAGGTTAGGTTGCAATCAAATCACAAACAACAAGGCAAGGAGGATCAGGCCCCACAACAACCAACAGTAGGCGGCACAACCAGTTCAGAACAACACAGCCGACACAAAAGGATGAACAAAGCGGGGAAGGGTGAGATAGACACACACACACACACACACACACACACACACACACACACACACACACACACACACACACAACGAGGGAAATCGCACCAAGGCTTTTCTGGTTGGTAAAGAACACAGTCGTGAACGCGGAGAAGGGCTTCAACAAGACAATGTGATCAACGCATACAACAACAAGCAAACGTCGCCGCCACCACATCACGGGTCACGCAGCACGGTCACGCACTGGTCAGCACTTGGGACTGCATTTCATCCAAGCGCTTCAACACAGCAGCAGCACCATCAAGCACGCGCTCGCCCCATTTCTTCGTTTCGCCCTCGTCCTCTTCCGCCTCTTTCTCTTGCGCAGGTGGTGTGACTGCAGTGAAACAACATGGCACCAAAGTCGCACACGGTGAGAACAAATAGGGCAGAGCGCCAGTTTTCTTGCACGCATCCCAACGCCGTGCACTCGCTCACATGCATGCACACGTGCGTGCACCCATGTGCACACACTCACTGACACAAAGAAACGCGACTGCGAGCCTCACATGTGCGGTGGATGTGCGATTGCAGCATTGCCGCCGTCATGTGCTGATCCCGCGAACGCAAATCGCTCACACCTGTGAATACAGCACGTGTGGTGGTGGTGGTGGTGGTGGTGGAAGTGAGTGAGGTCCAAGTTGGGTGGCAAGTGTGCACACAAAGAAATCGCTGTGATGACAGCATGAAACGAAGCACGTGCACTTCAACTGCAAAACGTGTGTTCGCCAGCTGCGCTCGTCTCTTACCATCGACGAGCTGGTTCAGGAGCTGAAGCGAAACAAATGCCGTGTCATCATCTGCATCTGGTGGTGGCAGCTGCGACGCAAACTGACGAACCAGCGCGCCGTTCTTCTTCACTGTGGTCGTGGACGGCGTTTACAGTGATGAAACCACATACATGTGTGTGTGTGCGCGTTAGAGAGCAACAAAGAGCATTGCACATGAAGGGAATGAACGAAATGAAACGAACGGCAGCTGGTCAAAATGTAAGAACCGCATCAAAACCCATCGCACTCACCAATCTTGAGTGTTTGCTGCGCTGGCGGAGTGGGTGAAGCGTCAATATCACTCGACTGTTTCTTGTGCTGCAGCATTGTCGTGCATGCACGCCGGGCCATTGCGCCAATCACGCCCTCAAACTTGCCACGCAGCGCCTACACACGCGCAGGAAGGGGAGGGCAAATCAAGTATGGTTGCAGTGGTGACGTGAGCATTTTGAGGGCGGGGGCGGTATTGCATGGTCAACGTCGTGCCCATCAGTGGTTTGACCATGCACAACTTGTTGCCATTGTCGCCATAACCTCTCAACCACGCATACACACACACACAACACACAACACCCTGCGCCAACGCTGACCAACACCTTGAATACGAAGAGAAAGGTGTCTGCGACAAGGGATTCGTGGCCGGGACCGAGCGCAAACAGCGAATCAAACATCGCCTCCACGCGGGCAAGGTGCGACGCATCTGGACAGACGAATTATGGAGTGTTGTGTTGGAAACGACACAGTGACATTGTGTGCTTCCTATCATGCCACAACAAGAGCACGCACGAGCAAGGTACGAACATCCGCAAATGCGCACCAACATACACACATGCACACAATGCACACACGCACACACCTTGAGCATGTGCCTCCAATTTCCCAGCGGCCGTTGCAAAATGGGCGACGAGCTGTCCAACAACATCGCTCAACGCAGCGCCAATCCCTGACATGCGAAGCACGCATGGAAGGTGGTGGTGCACGGCGGTGAGAGCCAATAGCGGACGGACGAGCACAAACACATGCAAGGCATGTGGGTGTCGGTAAACAAAGCGAGCAAGAGTGCCAGAATGCAGTGAAATCAACCTAAACACAATGAAACAAAACAAAACGCAAAATCGAATCAAACACAATCAAAGCAAACGCGGAGCACAGCGATACAACACAGCAGCCCAGCTCGAGCCATGGTTGTCGTGTACCTGCTGTGACGACGGCCGAGAGCGTTTTGGCCAACAGCTGCGCAACATCGGGTGCTGGCGGCTCCACGCGCACACACACAACCGCACCGCGAAGCACCTGGTGGTGATGGCGAGCAGGGCATGCAGTGAGCCAAGCGGTCACGTGCATACGTGTGTGTGTGTGTGTGTGTGTGTGTGTGTGTGTGTGTGTGTGTGTGTGTGTGTGTGTGTGTGTGTGTGCGTGTGTGTGTGCGTGCGTGCCTCAGTTGTATTCATCACAAACCGTTTGGGTGATGAGCTCGCAGTCATCCCTGGAAATGGTCGACTTGTGCCGTTTCTGAATCCGCACGCAATGCCAATTGACAAGATGAATTGTCAGATATAAGCAAGGTATGAAAGACAGTTCTGCTGTCGTTGTACGGCCGCTCTATTGCTGGTATTCGCACAAGACGATCACACTTCATGGCACCGGCGCAACTACCAAGTACCATCCATGCACCACGATATGTATGTGCTCACAGATGAACATGCGTAGGCACACACCTTCTTCGCCTGCGCAGAGCTGTCAGCGTAGAGTGGGAGGAGAGATTCGGTGACAAATCTCAACTGCTGTGTGAGCATGGACCACATGGCCGCTGTGTTCACGCCATCATCGCCATTGTCATCTGCACACGACGCATTGCTTGGCAACTGCGCTGCGAGAATCTCAACCTCAAGCGCCAGCGAGAGTGCATCGGCAAGCACGTGTGCATCCACGCTTCCAACGCTGACCAACAACAAAAATGCAAAAGCCATGAGAGTTGCAGGTGCGAGTAACACGTGAGCTGGAAGCAACACCGCTTATCAGACACGTTGTACGCATGCAGTTGCTCCGTGCATGCCTACCGTCGCGCTTACCTTGCTGATGCCTGTGCGACGGCTGTGTAAAGGAGTTTGCGCACGCTCGAAAACGCATCTGCACGGTCGATATCGGCAGCGAGCGCACAAGAAATGGACGGGTGCGGCAGAATTTGTGTCAGCGAGGCAAACATTGGGCAAGCAATATACCAACCTCCACATTGCAACACATCACATCACCAGCACTAGCAGTAGCAGCAGCAGCACGCGCCCCCACACACATCGTGTGTCAGCTCGAAGACTCACCGGAGACAGACGCAAAGCGAGCGGCATACTTCTCCTGTCAGGTCGAAGAGTGTGCACATGAATATGGATTGTGTGTGTGTGTGTGTGTTGGGATCGTGACGATGATGATGATGATGATGATGATGATGATGATGATGATGATGATGATGGTGGTGATGATGTTGTTGTTGTTGTTGTTGATGATGATGATGATGATGATGATGATGATGATGATGATGATGATGATGATGATGATGATGATGATGTGTGTGTGTGATTGCTGCCTTCGCAGAGAAACCGGCGGTGGTGTGTTCCAATCAGCAGCAAGGAACAAAGCAAATGGTGTGCGTACCAAAATATGGCGAAACGCAAAAACGGCCAACGCTGCCTTGTTGCTGTGTTTCTCAAACGCATTCAGATCGCGAGCAGACAGGACAGGCGCCTTGGTGCCTTTTCTTCCCTTGGACTTTGGCCCTGCCACAAACTCTGGATAAAATGGGATTCACAACGATGACAACCGTGCCGATATCAGCCAAAATGAGCATGAGTCACGTATCCGTGCGTGCGTGCGTGTGTGTGTGTGTGTGTGTGTGTGTGTGTGTGTGTGTGTGTGTGTGTGTGTGTCGGTAGG